AACTGCAGACCAGTGCCTCCTGAATACAGCTGTAAAGTTCTCTTGCAGTGGGTTTGCAAACATACAAAGAGGATTCTATATCATGGCTAAGAGAATTTATCTCCAAAATGCAAGGGTAGTTTAGTATCTGAAAAATAATGTAATACACTAATAGATCAAAACCCCAAAATTACATGATTATTTATAAAATTTATTATATTATAAAACCCAACACTCTTACTTTTTTTATTTGTTTGAGACAGGGTCTCACTGTGTAGAACAGGCTGGCTGTGGGGGCCCCTGCAAGTGTCACAACCAAGAGCAGGATGATTTGGATGAGGTTGAGAATGAAACTTAGGTCAGCACAACCTAGCTGGTGCTGGGTCCGAATTTCTGGAGTCTAATGCCAAGTGGTTCATTGCTTGTACATTTAAACACAGTAAAACTTTGGGGAAAAGTTAGCATATCACGTGACAATTACCACAACAAATCTTTAGGCATAGCCACACAGAAAGAAACTCCCTTGCAAAGTGCATCTCTATAGCAAAGCCCCTGTGACCTTTCCCACAGAAATGGGTTCTATTGACTGAGAGCAGGGCTCAGGACAAGGGCCCAGGGAGGAAGGGTTCGTAATAAGCAGAAGGGTGGGTTCTATTGACTAAGAAACAGAACTTAGGAAGGAGTCCGGGGCCAGGGAGGAATAAGCATAATTGCGAACTCTTTTGCAAAGTACACAGCACCTCCTTCAGGAGGATGGGCTCTGTTGACTGAGACAATGCTCAGGATTGGGGGATTCCACGAGGGCTGGCTTTACAGACTAGCGAATATTACCAGGTGTTAACACATCCACTCTGTGCCCTCCACAGCTGAACTCCAACTCAGAGATCCGCCTGCCTCTGCCTCCTGAGTGCTGGGATTAAAGCCATGCGCCCCCACGCCCAGTGAGAGACTAGATTCTTTTGCCAGAGTTCAGGATCCCGACAAGGGTGTGCAGTCTGGCCACTTCTCAGTGTTGTACCAGAGCTTCCAGCAGTAGCCATGGAGACAGCTCAGTCGATAAAGTACTTGCCTCAGCCTGACCACCTGAGTTCTGTCTTAAGGACACAGGGTGAGAAGAGATGGGGCTGGTGGGCCGGCTCGCTGGGTAGAAGTGCTTGCTGCCAAGTCTAAGCTCCAAGCCGGAGCTCAATCCCCGGCTCCACATTGTGGCTCACAACCATCTGTAACTCCAGTTCCAGAGGCTCCAAAGCCCCCTCTGACTTCTGCAGGCACCAGGCACTGGTGATGTGATGCACATACATAAATACATACATACACACAGGCAAAATATTCATACATATCCAAAAAAAATTGTTTTGTTTTTAAGCTAAAAAAAAAAAAAAAAAAAAAAAAAAAAAAAAAAAAAAAAAAACAAAAAAAAGATGCCAGGCAGCTAGCCTTTTAAGCCCAGCACTCAGGAGGCAAAGGCAGGCAGGCCCATGAGCTCAAGGCCAGCATGGTCTACAGAGGGAGTTCAAGGACAGCCAGGGTTACACAGAGAAACCCTGTGCCAGAAAACCAGGCGGGGGTGGGGTGGGGGGGTGGAACGGACGGACGGACGGACGACACGACACACTGAGATGGCTCAGTAGGTAAAGATGCTTGCTACTAAGCCTGAGGACCTGAGTTCAGTCCCCAGGACTCACGTGGTATAAGGAGAAACCTGAATTCTGCAAGTGGTCCTCTGTGCTGGTTGGTGTCAGGCACATCTGTATACACACGCTCAGGAATGCACAAATAAGGTTTTTTTAAAAGGTCAGATGGACCCTACTTTCTTCTGAGCCCCTCTCTTAACTGCTGTGTGCAAGCCTTTTTTCTTTTCCTTTTAAAGGTGGAGGAGGCAGAGAAAGAGGGGTCCTTGGGCTCACTGGTCAGCCCTGGTGAACTCTAGCTGACCTGGTGAGCTCCCAGTTTAGTGAAAGACTGTCTGAAAAACTGGTGCTGCATGCTGTTAATTCCAATCCTTGAGAGGCAGAGATGAGGGAGCTCTGTGAGGTTTGAGGCCAGCCTAGTCTGGAGAGCATCGTGGCTAGCCAGGGCCACCTAGTAAGACCCTGTCTCAAAAAGGGTGTGGGGGGCCTGGAGAGTGGAGAAATAGCTCAGCCATTAAGAGCTTTTCCAGGGCTTGATTCTCAGCACTCACGTGGTAGCTCACAACCATCTCAATTCCAGGGATTCAGCACCCTCTTCTGGCCTCCACAGGCACTAGGCATACATGTAGTATATAGACATACATGCAGGCAAAACACCCATACACATAAATTAAAAATAAAAGTAATTAAAAGTTTTTAAAACGTCAGATTCTTGGCATTCATACAGTAGGAGACTACTGAAAAGTTGTCCTCTGGCCTCCACAAAAGTAATGTGGCCTCTACACCTTTGTACAGATACACACAAAATAAATAGACAAATCTTTAGAAAAATAATGAAGGGGAGTGTAGGGTGGGGGTGGCATACACCTTTAGTCCCAGCACTTGGGGGGCAGAAGCAGGTGGTCCCCATGAGTTCGAGGCCAGCCTGGTCTATACAGAGAAACCCTGTCTTGGGAAAATAAATAAATAAATAAATAAATAAATAAATAAATAAATAAATGAATGAATGAATGAATGAATGAATGAATGAATGAAAGAAAAAGAAAAACTGCCAGGTATGAGCCAATGAGATGACTCATTGTATAAAGGTACTTGCCAAGCCTGGAAACCTGAGTTCAACCCTAAGACCACATGGTGGGAGGCAGAAGCAGGTGGATCCCCATGAGTTCGAGGCCAGCCTGGTCTATACAGAGAAACCCTGTCTCAGAATGCATGAATGAATGAATGAATGAATGAATGAATGAATGAATGAATGAATGAATAAATAAAAGAAAAAGAAAAACTGCCAGGTATGAGCCAGTGAGATGACTCATTGTATAAAGGTACTTACCAAGCCTGGAAACCTGAGTTCAACCTTAAGACCACATGGTGGGAGAGAGAACCAACTCTCCATGCTATTCCCTAACCTCCACACAAGAGCACGTACAGTGTATGCATGAGGCAGGCACACACACACACACACACACACACACACACACACACACACTAAATCAATAAATATAATTTAAAAAACTATCAGGCTTGGGGGCTCACACCTGAAGTCTCAGCACTTGGAAAGTGGAGGAGGAGTTTAAGGCCATCCTTGGCTACATAGTAAATCTGAAGCAAGCCTGGGCTATATGATACTCTTATCTCAAAAACAACAAAATCAAACAAAAATAAACACGTGGGGCTTGATAGACTAGGCTCTTCAGACTGAATTGTGCTCTGTCACACTGATGCCCTGTCTTACAGGTGTGTGGCCAGGCTAATGCTGTCTCAACTTCTCTTGACTAGGTTGGTGGCTGAATTTGCAGAGGCATGAGCTGGGTCCAGGCCAGCCTGCTGGCTCGAGGCCTCTCCAGGGGCTGGGGAGGCATCTGCAGGACTGCCCTCTCAGGAGCTCCCTTTGCTCAGGTAACCAGAGGCCAGGCATTCATGAGTAGAGGGGGAAGGCCTGGGCTTTACACGCACCCTCTCAGGATCAGGCCACGGGAGTTCTGGTGGTCCTTGGCCTGCCTGTCCTGGTGACGACCCCCATCAGTTATTCTGCATTGCTGTCCTGCAGTGCAGTGACCAAAGCGACTTAAAGGTTTTGGGCTTAAGTCACAGAGGGTGAGTCCATGACGGGAGGCCTGGCAGCCGGTGGCCAGAGCAGGTTGCTGAGGTTACATCTCAAGCACACATAGGAAGCAGAGAATGAACTGAAAATTGGTTGAAGCTATAAATCTTCAAAGCCACCTCCAGGGACACACTTCCTCCAGCAAGACTCCAAATCCCAAAGGATTAATAATCAGAAGTCATTCAAACCACAACAGAGGGTGTATTTTTTGAGAGAGAGAGAGAGAGAGAGAGAGAGAGAGAGAGAGAGAGAGAGACAAATGGAATACCAAATGGCCTTAGAATATGATGTGTGGTTCAAGCTGTTAGACCCCAAAGTCTAGGGTCTCAAGTGGGCGCCCCAAGAACCCAGACTCCAGTCCAGTTGATGCAACAGCACGAGGTGTTTATTAATGCGGCTGTACAGTCAGGCAAACTCAGCTCCAGAGAGCAAGAGTCGCATCTTACTGCAGCCCCATGGGGGCTTTTAAAGGAAAAACCCACAAAAGCCATAAGATTACAGTTCCCATACAATTTCATTTCACAAGATCATGGTCTGATACAGAGTGGGTACAGTCACGTCCACATGCACATTCTTCCTGAAACCTCAAGGGGGGTATCAAGGCGGGAGTGGAGTTTACACAAAGGTCACAGTGGTCCTTCTGGAACACCTGCAACTATCCCAGTCACAGTTGAGCACATCTCTTAACAGAAATCTCTTTACATTGTTACATTGTTACAGGGGTGGTTGAGTAATGGCTGAGTCAGGTTGCCCTTGGAACTAGTTTTCTTTTTAGTTCCTTATTTCCCGGGGCTTGAGGGGTGTAAGCCTGAAGGGTTAGGGTCTTTCAAAGCAAGCCTTGAGATCTCAATTCTCCTGCCATAGCCTCCTGGGGGTTGGAATTTCAGGTGTGTGCCACCATGTGGCACTGTACTTTGTCATGGTACCTAAGCTAGGGTTAGCAGCCACCGTATCAAAGCTCGTCAGAGGCCCTCCATGATATCCCGGGCACCTCTGCCAGAAAAGCTAAAGTGTCCCTCCATACCCTCCCAGGTGTCCCTCCAGGCCCCCCGAGGCCTCCACTGCAGCGCAGTAACGCACAAGGATGAGACGTGGTTGGTTCCTCAACCTCCCGAGCCCCAGAGGAAGCCCGTCAAGGTCCCAGCTGGCCATGAAGAACTGTTCAAGCCGTCGTCATATGGGGAGCAGGACAAGGCAAGCTTCTTACGTGCAGTACGCAGCTTTGGGGAGCACAGCGTGCGCAAGCGCGGCCACGTGGACTTCATCTACCTAGCGTTGCGCAAGATGCCCGAGTTCGGAGTGGAGCGGGACCTGTCAGTGTACAACTTGCTGCTGGATGTCTTCCCCAAGGAGGTCTTCCGGCCCCGCAACGTCATCCAGCGCATCTTCGTCCACTATCCACGGCAGCAGGAGTGTGGGATTGCCGTCCTAGAGCAGATGGAGCGGCACGGTGAGAGCGTGGGCCCAGCCCGCCCCCCGCTCCCCTTCTGTCTCAGCCTCTCCCCCTCCTCTTCCTCTCCCAGGCTCTTCTTAGAATTACTGGGCCTAGGGCTGTAGCGGAGTTGGAGGGGGACTTACTGGGGTACTCCAAGGCTGGTCCCCAGTTTCCAACAACCTCAGGGGCACGCCTGTCATCCCAGCTCTTGGGGGTCGTGGGGGGAGGCGGTGCACGTAGGCATTCAAGCTTGTCCTCCACTACATAAGTTTTGCTTTGATTTTTCTTTTGGTTTTGGTTTTGTTTGTCTGGGTTTTTTGTTTGTTTGTTTGTGGCTGTCTTGGAACTCTCTGTAGACCAGCTGGCCTCAAACTGAGTGTTAGGACTAGGGGCATGTGCTGCTGTGCCCAGCTGCTTTGCTTTTTATTCTGTGGGTTTTTTCTAAGATTTACTTTTAGTCATATGTATGCTGCGTATCAGTGAGTGTGTGAGTGCACATGCCCACAGAAGTCCGAAGACAGTGTTGGGTACCCTGGACCTGGAGTTAAAGGTGATGCAGTCCATGATCCTAACTGCTATTTCTCACGTTCTGAGTACAATTATAGGCATGTGCCACTGTGCTCTTTTATATGGTAAGATCAAGCCTGGAGCTGTGTATGCCAGACCACCACTCTACTTGGCTGCAACCTAGCCCCAGCCCCTGCTCAAATAAAACCAACCCTGATGGGCTGGGTGTGGTGTGGTGGCGCACACCTTTAATCCCGGCTCTGGAAGGCAGAGATAGGCGATCTCTGTTCTACATACAGAGTTCCAGGCCAGCCAGGGCCGCACAGATAGTCAGATCCTGTCTCAAAATAAGAAAAAAAAATATGAAAAATGAATTCCCTTTAATTCTCTTCTCCCTCCTGCTGTCTCTCCTGACTTCACTCTCTGTCTAACTGTGCCTTGCCTCTCTGAGGCTCTATCTGGCTCTGCCCAGCACAGGAGTCATGCCCAACGCAGAGACAGAGTTCCTGCTGACTCAGATATTTGGACGCAAAAGTTACCCCATGCTCAAGTTCCTGCGGATGAAGCTGTGGCTCACCCGATTCAAGAATATCAACCCCTACCCTGTGCCCCGAGATCTGCCCCAGGACCCTTTGGACCTGGCCAGGCTAGGCCTGCGACATATGGAACCTGACCTCAGTGCCAAGGTCACTGTCTACCAGGTATGCATTCTTGTTGGGTCCTACAGCTGCCAACCCTGGCTGGGCTCTCCTTCACTCACCTGGTATTCTGACAATGCTCAAGCCCTTCTGCATTACCACACTTGAACCTGTCTTAGTCTGTTTAGCCATCACAAAATATCCTGTGCGGGGTATATTAGTCCCCTCTTGTTTCTCTAACAAAATACTGGAGGCTGGGTACTTTATAAAGAAAAGAGATGCCAGGTGTAATCCCAGCACTTGGGAAGTAGAGGCAGGTGGATCGTTCTGAATTCAAGGCCAGCCTGGGCTACATAGTGAGTTCTGTGTCAGCCAGGGCTACACAAAAGAGCCTCTGCCTCATCCCCTAGTGAGGGCAGGGCTTGTGGGTAGGGCACCTGCCTTCCTTGTTCAAGGCTTGAGTTCCTTTCCTAGTACTGTGACAAAAAAGAGAAACTTGTCTTGATGCATTATGCTAGGCAAGCACTCACCAACTGAGCCAAGTCCCGGCCAGGTTCAAGGTCTTGGTGCCATCTGAAGAACGGCTACTGTCACTTCTGCACATGAGTCAACTGAGCTACAAAGGTGCAGTGACTTGGGTGAGGTCACTGCAGGCTGAACATAGCTGGATGGCTCCAAGGCCCCTTCAGGATGGGCTCCGTGTTGGCAGCTCCGACCAAACTGGCTACAAAAAAAGAGGAACATGTAGGGGATCTGGCACAACTGTTCAGAATTTGCTGGCATCTTCTTTCCCTTTGCTTTCTCTGGCTCCCCTGTAGATGCTGGGGAGTCACAATCTTGCACCCCTGCTGTTCTTTGCAGATGTCTTTGCCCAGTGACTTGACAGGCACAGATCCCACCCAGCCCTACATTGTAGGTAAGGCCCCAGTCTGTCCCAGTCTCTGCCAGATTCCTCTGGGCCCGTTGAATGACTCCCTGGGCCTTTTGCTGCTAAGACATCAATAGGTTCTCATCTCCACACCAGGAATCCAGAGTCCTGATCAGCAAGCTGCCCTGGCCCGCCACAACCCATCCAAGCCTGTTTTTGTGGAGGGCCCCTTCCCTCTCTGGCTGCACCATAAGTGTGTCTATTATCACATCCTGAGAGCTGATCTGCCACCCACTGAGGAAGAGGTGAGTCCCATCCCAGAACCCACATGGCGGAAGGAAAGAACTGACTCCTACAAGTTGTCCTGAGTTACACAAGGGTGTGCATAAATAAATGTTAATTTAAAAAAAAATAAGGAAGACATAGTGGCACATATCTTTAATTCCAGCACTCTGGAGGCAGAGGCAGAGGCAGGCAGGTCTCTGTGAGTTCAAGGCCAGCCTGGTCTACAGAGTGAGTTTCAGATTAGCCAGGACTAGAGATTCTGTCTCAGAAAGGGGGGAGGGGGAGAGGCAGGCTAGCACTGTCCTGAAGGCTCAGATGAGGAGCTGGGGTTCTGTGTTCTGGCCTCTGATCCTGCTTGCTCTCTCTTGCCTGAGGCAGAAAGAAGAAGAAATCCCAGAAGAGTGGAATCTCTACTACCCAATGCAGCTGGACCTGGAGTATTCAAGGAGCGGTTGGGACAACTACGAGTTTGACGTGGATGAAGGTAAAGCAGGACTCAACACAGCACAGCCTGTTCAGTGGCCTCAGGACCTCGGGCTGGGACACTGCCATTCCCCGTCTCCAGGCGGTCAGGTGCCCGAGGGACCTGTCCTCCTTGGCCCCGCCCCTGATATCTTTTATGGAGCATTCTATACTGACTAGTGACATAGTCGGGACAGATGCAAGCCTCGGGTCAGTAGGGAACAGCCAAGTTACATTTGGGGGTGTGGTGGTATACTGTGCACCCCAATATAATTTACCTGAAGACCAGAGAACAGAACAAACCACTAGATTAAACAGAGAGGCCAGGCAGTGGTGGCACACACCTTTAATCCTAGCACTCAGGAGGCAGAGAGCCGTCTGGATCTCTGTGAATTCAAAGCCACCCTGGATTACATGAGATTGACTCAGTCTAGGAGAGAAACAGAGCCAGGGGCAGTGGTGGCACACGCCTTTAATGCCAGTACTGGGAAGCACACACGCCTTTCATCCCAGGAGTTGATGGCTGGTAAAGTGTGAGGAGACAAAAACTAAAGGCTTTTCGGCAGAAGCGTCCCTTTCAGCTAGAGGCTCGTTCAGCTGGAGCCTTTCAGGTGAGGACTCAGGATTCATGGAGTTCGCGAGGTGAGACATGGCAGTGGCTTGTTCCTTGGTCTCTCTCATCTTTCAGCATTTACCCTAATAACTGGTTCTGAGCTTTTTTTTTTTTTTTTTTTTTTTTTTTTTTTTTTTTTTTTTTTTTTTTT